AAAAAAAAAAAAAAAAAAAAAAAAAAAAGTATTTATGAACAGCGCAGCACGGGATCGTTGCAGCCATTTTTCTCTTACCTGCCTCAGCCAGGTGCCTGGGGGCTGTCAGAACACCAACAGGAGGCCCCGTGAGCCCCCCCGACCCCCAGCTGTGTGTTTCCAGGGCAGGACCGGGGACCCGGGGGTGCGTTACCCTGTGCCCCGTTCCCCCGTTCCTCACCGCGGCGCAGTCCAGCTTAGTTCCCCGGGCACACAGCATCACTAGAAGGTGTGGGGATTTTTTGTTTTTAATCGGAGTACAAGTCTTTATTTAGTAGACTTATAAAATAACTTTACATGAGAAGTACAAAAATATGAAATAGGCTTTAAATCTTCTTAGGTAATACTACCTTTTTTTTTTTTTTTTTAAGCTTCAGAAACATGAAACTTGCACAGTTGGCATCTTAGGTAAATTGTTCTCATACACTGTAAAACTAGGAAAAAAAAACTTTCTGTAAAATAGCTCCAGAAAAGTAGCTGTACATACCCAATCATACACATCGCTGTCAATAATTTATTAGTTTAAGACACAATGGCACAGTCATACAAATTCCCACTTTTTAATTAATTCCCTTGAAAGATGCAGTATCACTTTCCTCTTCCAGTTGTTAATATGATTAACTATAAACACAAAACGGATTAAGAATGATTTGGCATGCTTTATACTTGTACCACTTGGATTTGATACCACTGTAGTAAAAATTAAATAAATATAAATATGTTAAATAAATATATTGTAAAAGAACACCCCACTTGTATTAATATTAAAATTCAGCATTTCTTCATCCTTAGCACACACTTAATGCTTTGTCACAGCTTTAGGGCCAATGAAAAGAAATACTGCATCTTTAAAAACATCAGCTCCCATGGATGTGATTAGCAACCCACGGAAAGAGGAACCCAGGCTCCTCTAGAGCCTTATCGCACCCCTTAAAAACACTGCCTATAATTTCTGTACATATCTCATTGTTTCCTATTTCCATCCTTTTTCCCCAGGACTCCTCTTACCTCTGGCTCTGCAGCTGGCGACCCTTCTTTGTTAGAAAGTAAGGAACACTTGCAGTAGATAAATGATCAGCCTCTCATGAGCAGCTCCCAGCTGACATCGGTGTGGTTTTTCTGAAGTTACTTGTGTAGATCTATTCTGATACTGTGATTTCATCAAGGACTGTTCACACTCTTCGGTGAATACTGGTTGATACTTAAACGAGGCTTATTTTCAAAGTAGGTAAACCTTTAACTGATTTTTCAAGTCAGTATTTTTTTAGAACTCCAGTATATCTGCTCAAGTATGAGGGACTAATTTCCCAGGGTAGTACTGATTAAACAGAAATTGTACTCTCTACTGGTTTTTGGCTGATCAGGAATGATGCTCTCTGCAATCACTGTGGTGTGCCTAATGCATAACGTGGCAGTAGTGCAACAGCAGGTTCTGATGATTTGCTACAACTAAAAGGCTCCTTTTGCAGATCCCAGTCCCTAGTAATTATATGATTTCAATCGCCATATTTTGATTCGTTGTAGTAAAACACATCAGTTATCAAATCACATACAGTACAGGTATATTGGGTGACGGTTAGATCCGGCTTTTGCGCTCTGTTCTCACTGTCTTGAGAACTTGGAATAACCTCACCCCAGGGTTCATTGCTTTCCTGAAGTTACGACTCGCTCCTTGGGCTCCTACCATCTTGTGATCCAGCGCAGGCAGAGGTACAAGGCACTTTTTGGAAGCTTGATTTCTTCAAAGAGAGAGAATTCAGCTCTTTGATCCCACTGTCCCTGCTAAAGGTAGGCCTGTTTCACAGCCCTGTGCTTGGAATGTTGGTCCCAGAGAAGAAAGCTCCATCCCTCTCCTCTCAAACAGTGTCTCCTGCAAGGCTCAGCTCTGCAGAGTCCTGATAATAGTAATGCTGAAACAGTCTCTCCTGGCAGCAGATATGCATGGCATTGTAAGTGTGTAGGAGCAGGTGAGGGAAACGAGCTGTAAAGTAACACACAAAATCATCCGGGATGGAGCCCAGGGTCTCCTGCACGTCGGGAGGCAGTTCTCTGTAATGGTGCTTCTGTGAAGGGAGAACAGGGAAAAGCTCGGTCAGAGGGTTTGTGTCCAAGGATCTGCTTTTCAACAGAGCTGACTGTCCCCGATCATCTGCGTGGGCAAAGTAACCTCCTGGTAGTCTGTTGTGAAGCAGCTCAGTACCAAAACCAAGGTGAGACAGATGCAGACTGGCAACAGCCAACCCAAGGGGGCAGAACCAGTGTGTGTGTGTTGTGCAGGGAGAGAACTCCTTTACCTTATTTCTCATTGCCCTCAGAAGATCCCGCACTGAGCCTCCTTTATACGATCGGAATTTTCGAAGATCTGTGAAAGAAATGACAAGATTTCTTTTGGTGTTTTGATGGTTTTAGTTGCTGGCCTCAAATGTAAGGTATGTGTGCCTGCAGTCACACAGCCCCACGGGTGTGTTTCAGTATCTAAACATGTACTTTAACTTGAAGAAATACATTGACAAGTAACGGTCATGTGCCAAAACTGAGACAGAGTGCTCCTCACCTTCCTGTCCCTGCAGACTGGGAACAACAGCACGTACCTTGTTTCCACTGATAAAACACGATCCATTACCTGTCTGGAGAGGAACGGTGATGTGCTCTCTCCAGTCCATTTTCACCACCTCTCTTCCACCTCTTTCTAATTGCTTGACTATTGGACCATCTAAAGATTCTTTCTCTATCCGGTCACTAACATCCTGGAAAAGACATTCAGGTTATTTCTAGTTTTATTTCCAAGCTTTTCCCAACAATGTAAAATTGCTGCTTCTAGCCAATTACAGCCTGTCCTGATAATGAGTTGTGATTCTACTTCACTCCGTGACAAAGTGTGATGCAATGGATTATGCTTGGGACTGGGCTACAGAGGTTTCTGTGATGACGAGCTGTTTCACGATCTGCCAAAGCCTTTTTATCACAGAGCACAAGATGATAAGGCTGGAAAAAACCCTCAGCTCCTCAGCCAGTTCCCACCCCTCATCTGGATTAAGCCTGCATATCCCCTACGGGGGGCTACCCTGTTCTGGAAAACCCGCCAGGCACCACGCTCTCCTGCACTGCCTCTAGCTGCTAGAGACCTTCCTCACTCCAATTTAAGTTGATAACATCTCGTTCCAGCCCCCCTGTAAAAGATCTTTGGCAAGATTAAGCCAGTTTCTGAGAGATGGCACCCAGGTATTACAACTTTTCTTTGTCACTCCTCACAGTAAGGTTGTATATTCTATCACCTCAAACATCCATGACACTAGAAGAGACTGAATTCGAGATTTAAAGAATGTCTACAGGGGTTTTTAGAATGTAAAGGATAGAAAAGGCCAACACAAACCTGAAAAAACTGGAGCTGTTTTTCTAAACTCCAAAAGAATGGGTGTTTTAGCACACAGCTGGCAGACGGACGCTTCTGAGGGTCCATGTTTATCATTTGCTCTATTAAATCACGAGCAACTATATCTTCTGCAAGGAAAAGGGTGGTAATTCTTAGGCTATAGGGAAATCTAATGTTTTGTACTTTAGAAACTCATTATGTTCTCTACTTCCTCCAACACAAACCTGAACACTAGCCCCACTAGCTCAAGTACCTCCCTCACAGATACGCTGCGCAGTCAACAGAAAGTCAGTGGTGTTGAATCAGTGTGATTATGAAGACCAAATCTCAGCTCTTTCCCACCCTTCAAATACATGAAATAACTCCACAGTCAAGCTTGCAGGGTGCCTGATTGTGTATCCCCAAGATGCTTTGGGGTGCTGACGCTAAGAACTTTAGGACCTTTACTGGAGTACACTGGGAACACAACTTTCACCACGTGGGTCACAGTTCTGTCATTTCTGTTGGCATTTTAACACCCATGAAAAGTTCACTGAACTCTACAGCTTTATGTTTACCGTGCTTTTCTTACCATGCCTCCCTGCATTTAAAGACTCCAGGCTGTATGCACCCAGCAGAATGTTGGCTTGCCGCTGCAGAGATTTGCCAAAGGGATGGCTGCCTTCAGATACCACATAATAAAAGACACAGCCAGCTGAAAAGATGTCCACGGTATACGTCTGCAAATAAACAACCTTTAATAGCAATAAAAAAATTTATTTTCTCCCTGAAGACTTTGATCATCACAGGGTGGTTATTTTGCATCTAAGAGCAGAAGGAAACTTTTCAGAATCACATATTCAGCTGCAAGCCAGCATGAATGCCCAGGTATCGAGTGCTGCTCTCTTAAAGTCTGCCTGCAACAATGTGCCACCTTGGCTGTGCTGCCTCCTCTGGGGGAGCCCGAGGGAAAGCTGGAGACTTACAGGGTTCTCTTTGCAATCTTCACTCAGCATCTCCGGGGCAATCCACCCTTCGGTGCCTGGCACGCCCGACCGACGGCTAAAGCTGTGCCTGCCCACTGCCAGCTTCTTGCAGAGGCCGAAGTCTGAAATCATGGCTTTGACCTTCCCGTGGGCGTTAGGCATCGAGATGAGGATGTTATGGGGCTTCAGATCCCTGTGGACTATTACAAACACCCATTTATCCACTTCAGGCAATCCCAACAACATTTGCAAATTTTTTATGTATTTTGTAA